CTCTACTAATAGTTAATTAAAAATTGTATAATGGCTATTTTGCACATCCCTTTCAAGATTTCAAGATTTTCTAAGGTGTATTGATCTTATACACAACTTGGGTCGCAGGTTCCTCAACAGCGCATTACAAGACATCTATCAATATGTGTATACCTCCACCATTAAACTGTCATATTCTGCACATTTCTTATACTATCTACATACATAAGAGTATAATTAATGTGTATAATATCAGTTAAAATAAGTGCTTCAACATAGTTAACATTGCAGGAAAGCAATATTTTAGACGTTAAGTACTTTGTCAGGCTTAATATTCATCGGTAGATAGATACCCCCAACGTTTTTTTCTTGTTTAAAAGAAGACCTTAACCTAAAGTATTCTTTAATGTGTTAATAAAGGTTAATTCGTTTTTCTGTTTTGCACATCCTCCTATTAATATCTTTGTACATCCGGCACTAAACTGTTTTATTGTAGAGATCACTTAGTATCTTCTTGACTTTTTATATTCTATATTTCTATCATTGACCTTCTACTTTCCCCCTATGAAAGTATGTACTCTTAATATTGTTTTAATCAAAAAAACATTATTCAACAAAAATAATTTAATAACATGCTTTAACCACTAGGCGGTGCACACAAGGTACACACAGCATACTAATAATAACTTTGTATTATTAGTGTAGAACACTTATAACATCTAAAGATGTGTAGTTTTATTCATGTTTTTACATAATTTTACAGGATATTGCTATACTATTTCTCTTGTTTTACTTCTACACATTAATATCTGATTTGTAAAACATCACAGACAGAAAGGCATATCCGTCATTTAATGGTAAGCTATTGAAATTGTGATTCCATAGATGTGTCTGCCATCACCCAAAACCCCTGACTATTCTCTCAACTCAGTATTTACATTCTGATATTCAAAGAAAATCAGTAATATCTTTAAAAACTACAAGTCCTTTTCTATCAGCTCTGCACCGTTATGGTGTAAATATAACCTCAATTGGATCAAATATAAAAGTCAGCTGAATTACTATTGACACTGCAAGGAGACGTATTTTGTGAAAAGAAATTGAAGATGTTGTTTAATTGTTGATATATTTATGATCCACCTCACGTATTCAGTTTTGGCAGCAGTTCTCCTGTTTGTCCAGAAGTCTTCTCATCAGGGCTCTATAAATAAAGAACTACGGCAGATGTGTAATATTTAATGCAGCCGAACCGTGTATTACAATGCCGTTATGTGATGACTTCCAAAGAGAAAAGCAAGAACACTCTGAACTAGGTATTATTTTATTTTTCGTTGTCGGATATCATATCTTATTAACACCATATCCCAGCGTGCATTGCGGCTAAAACATCCAATCAACGAGCTTCAAGCTGAGGATCTTGGGTAATCAGTTTGGTGGGTTTGTGGTGTATATCGCTCGAAATGTCCCGTCTGTTTCCGGTGACTTTATTTACGGCTAAAATGCCCAAGATTATAGAATTAAATGAATAAATAAAAACAAGGATAATTGTGTGTTATTGTTGAGTAAATAACAGTGTGTTATTTAGAAAAGAATAACAAATTAGAAGGAAAATATTTGAAAAAATACAGATTTCAGTATTTTGAGGCTCTAAGCCCCATTTATTTTCCTCACAGACGGAAAAAAAGTCCGACATTCTACGATTTAAAATAAAAACAAATAAATAAAAAGATAAAACACTGGCATGTAATTTACGTTAGAATAAATAGAATGGTTTTGAATAATAGATGAGAGTAAAATCTACTTCACTTTACAGCCCCGCCCACTTTTGGGGAAACCAACGCTGTCATTTGAACGGCGATCAAGCCTGAAGCCACAGAGCTCTTATTTTACTGTCCTTTCTTCTTAGAGGAAGTACAGAAACACGTAAATCTGGATTTGTTTTAATGTTTGAGGAGCAATAAACGACACAGCAACTTTTTGGCATGTTAAAACTATTATGTTCCGCCTTGCGCATGAGAGTAACAGCTGGCGAAATTACAGCCTCGCCTACTGATTTTAATTTAACCATATATCGAGCCCGATTCTCGATTTCAAATGTGTGCTCTAAAATTATATTTATAAATAACTATTTTCATTATTATAAGCAAGACAATAAATGGCAAAGATATGTAAAAAAATAACGTATTTAAGATACGTTCATAACAAACGTAACGTGGGAGAAAATACGTTTCTAGCTAAACGTAATTGAGAATGCAGTTTAGTTCTGTGGGAACGTAATTTTTAGGAGACAGGGTTGCTAGCAACCACCTTGGTAACAATGAAAACGTCGCGATTTCCTTTAGTAATCTTCGTAATAACTAGCAAACTAAAGATCATGTACATCCACTGCACACATAATCTGAAATAACAACTCATATTCCTCGCATCAAATGACATCAAAACGCATTTTAATGGCCAAACTAACTTTAAAATAGGCATTTTCCACCGAGAATAAAACGAAGTTCGGCCATGTTTTCTTTTTCTGCAGGGAGAAATTTGAAGATCACGTGACGTCAAACAGAGCACATGGTGTAGTCCAAACGATAGCTGGGGATTCTGGGTAGTGTTGTGTCATCTGCCATCCTTTACTCCGAAAAAATATTTGTTTCTCCGAATCGAAGGGGAAAAATACAAAAGCATTGCACACAATTTAAACCAATCAATGTTGTGTAATTAACAAGGATAATCCGGTGTTTTTTAGTCGATGAGTAGTGCAGATATCACTGTAAAATCAATCGACAGTAAGAGGAATACTTACTTCCGGGTGTACAATTCTCCGTTATCCAATGGGAATGGACGCTCACATTGCCTTTAAGGGCAGCCGACACAAACGAATGCCGTGCTTCCATGAGCGTCAAATCCCGCCGCAGATGGGAATACATTGCAATCAGTTGAAAGCTATTTGCGTCCCTTTATGACGCTGAAGGAGCCTAGGAGCGTCACAACTGGACGCCACGGACACTGACCAAACGTCGCTCCTGGACGCTTAGGGAGTGAGAGTGTGTTGGCTCTTTCCGTCCATATTTGAACCCTGTGTGAGTGGAGAGTCTCACAGCACCATTCAATATTTTTAACACAGATCACCAAGTTCATGTGAAAAAGAACTCGCTGAACAAAACAGCATCACTCCGCCCTGCAGACCGCTCATTTAGACGTCTGCCTCAAAAGCCTTTTATCTGCTCCTATCCTAATAGCGGGGAAATGACAGGGATGAATACTCAGCAATCATTCACACTACCAGCACTTAACTATTGTTATATCGGGTTTTTTCTAAAGCAGACATTTTCCTATTTAAAAGATACCTGCACACATTTCACCCCCTTTTAAATGCAAATACTCAGGCACCTGGCTTCTTATCAAACATTTCATTGTGTTTTCTCTGCATCTGCATGTAATTGCACACACAGCGAAGCCTTACAAGAACAAAGCGGCTTCGCAAATAAATTACAGCCACAATATAGGAAGAAAGGAGGAACAGGACACAAAGTTCCTGTGGTGGATAAAAGATCTACAGGTCAGGACAGCTGCTCTAATTATCTCAGAATTATTTCACTTTATACATACTACACTATGGGAACTGTTTCTGTTGTATTTGCCTCAACTACGGTGGCCAACGGGTGCAAACCATAGACTGGTGCAAACGCGCTCCAACGATCCAAAGCATCTACGTTACGTCCACACAGCAGCGTTGTGTGCTTCAACCATGGGCTTCAACGGAGATGCTTCCCATTCCCTTTGAATGGGGTGACGTCACGCTTTGCCGAACTGCCTTGTGGGTCCGTCGCGTCGCCGCTCCGTTGCTCGCTTTGAAAGTTGAGAAAAGTTAAAGTAAACTTTTCAAGCGTCAACGGAACGCCAGCCAATCAAATCGTATGCCAGAACAAGCACTGCCAATCAAACCGTGTTATTAATGTGATTGGTTGTTGGTCCACGCCAGACGCGCCCACCGGCAAGCTTCAACGCGACGCTGCCGTGTGGACGTAAACGTGCCACAGATTCAGAAGCAATGAAAATATTAAAGCAATTTTTTTTTTTAAATAAATGCAAATGAAGAAACATCTACACCAACTTGACAACACATGTGCATCATTTGCAAAACATTCACCAAATACAGGAATCATTGTTTAACTAGTTGTAAGACAACGATGCATGAACGTTGTAGCACTTTTGCACCAATCACTAAACTGTTGTTAGAAAGTAAGTAGCCTTAAAAAGAGTACTTCGCTTTCAAAAAGGCAAACTTTTATTTATGATTTACAATGCATTACCTAGATGTAAACTTACATGCCTCAACGCAAAAACATGAATTTTAAAAAAAAGAGGAAAAGTTTTGATGAACTGAAGTAAATGCATGCCACATTTAACAACATCAAACTTAAAGGTGGGGTAGGTAATTTTGGAGAAACCAGCTCGAGTGGCTAGAATCATAGAATTTGAAAATACACAGCTGGAAAAAATGTGCTACTTCCTTACAGAGCCCCTCCTCCAACACACACGAACGCGCAAATGACCAATGAGGGCACGAGATAAATGTGTGCACAGATGAAAGGCTGACAGGCAGGTAGGCCGGTGTTAAGAGCATTCCATGGAATATAACAAAAAGTGTATCACGAGCCGGTTTCTCAAACTTACCTACCCCACCTTTAAGAAAAACATCCTTACACAATCTCAATGAACTTAAGTTGCACAACTATTAAAACTGCACTACGTTGAAACACTTTCCATTAACAATATCACGCTTAATCAGGCGCTATGCATCCTCAGAAAATGATTATTTTTTGTGGGTTGAGTATCCCTTTAATATTTAGAATATAAAAACTAGAAAGATATAACTATTTTTACTTGAGCATTACCAAAACAAGAGTTCAGTAAAGAAACAAACCAGGTAAATGACCTCACAACACTGCTGCTAAAACGTTGTCTTTTTATTTATTAACATATCTTTCTGATATGGTCAGAAACTCTAACAAGGACAATAACAAGGACAAATTGTAAACCAAAAATAACATTATGTTTTAAAAAAAAAAACGTGTGCATTTCGGCTGTAATGTGAGTAGATACTAGATACCCCTCTTGCTCTTCAGACACATCACCTCAACTGTACTGCAGGTGCACACTGCCATCTAGTGGCCAAACACAACAGTACATGGGCAGACCCCATAATGTTAATCATATCAGATGTGTTCTATTCTGCGTTAAACAGTCTGCAGAATCATTCCAATATGGAGTAATAACACAAATCAGCAAACCAACAACAAATAAAGCATACTACACATTTTTTGCCACACAAAGCTTTTTCCCATCACTAGCTTTCATCAGGGCCTTGATGGCTCTGGCCCTCATCTCCAGCTCCAGGAGCTCCAGCTGCTGCAGGGAAGGGGGGCCTCCTGCAGGGGCCCGGCCTGACACGGGGGGAACAACAGGTGAGCTAACATCAGTGCACTGAGGAGGGGCCACACTCTGCTCTTTAGCCTCCTCTGTGCCTGCAGAGAGGGCCAAGATCTCACTGACACTCCGGTCTATGTCGCTCTGCAGGTCTTTCTTTGCTTCTGCAGGTGGGGCAGTGGGGGGGGCAGGGTTTATAGTAGCTGGGGTTACGGCAGCTGGGTTTACAGAAGCTGGGTCGACAGCAGCTGCCTTTACCTCCCCCTCCACAGCTTTACCCTGCTCCTCTTTATGCCCCTCTATGTCACTGTCGTAAGTGTCTGCGTTTATACTGAGGACGTCACTCTCCTCACCTGATCCCTCTGTGGAGAGAATTACACATTGTTATTTGAAATGCTCCTATTAAATATTGTTCCTTTAGTTTAGTGTACCTAGCATGTGAATTACCTTGTTTAGGGTCCTCAGGTTTTGCAGTTTCTTTTAAGCTAGATGTAGAGTCCACATTATTGTCTTGCCTTGACCGAGGAAAAAAGAAATGATCATATTAAAGTATGGGATATGTAAGGTGGCCCAAAACACTTACATTCGGAGGGACGCTGCAGTTTCGAAAATCGATGCAAACATACAAAAATCTTGACCACACATGCGCGGCGTTAACTAAAAGCGCCGCCGCTCCGTTGTGTTTTGAGCTTCTTGCAGCGTTTTGTATTTGCAGCGTTTATGCAGCACTTTTAGTAAACGCTGCGCGAGTTGGTGAATGTTTCTTAATTTGCATGCGTTTCGGCACATTTGTGTTTTTATATTTGCATTGGTTCTTAAGCTGCAGCGCTTTCTCCTAATGGAAATGTTTGGTAGCGCGTTGGCACCTGTCGGCCGCCGTATCATTTCATGAAAAAAACCACTTGTATTCTGAAATGTTGTCCTAAGTCATTTCACTCACTGGCTTTCTAAAGTCTCCTCTGTGTTTCCAGATGTCAGGTCTTCCCCTAAAGAACAACCAACAGCTTTAAGGATTCATAATGCAGCGTTTGAAATATTGTTTCAAGATAGTTTGTAAGAAAAACTTACCAAATGGCTTTAATTCTTACCTGCTAGAATCTGAATGAGATTTTGCTCTGAGATGGGCTCCAGTTGATCCCAGCACATCTTTTTGATTTCCTCTAAATTATAGTCCTGTGAATGATAATGTATTTAATAGTTTCTGTAACGATGGGATGCTACAACAGCATCCGAGCACACAGCAGAATCATACAGTCTTACTACTCTATCTGTATAGCTTATATGTGTTAGTTTAGCCAAGTATTTAATACCTGATACATTTCATTAACACATGTTTACAATGTCTTGAGTAAGCACACACACACCTTACAGATATGGATTAAAAAGGTAAAGTATGTTCAATAACTAAAATAAATAGTAGCAATTCTCTATCTGACTTATGTGACCTGGAAAACTAAAAAGGTGGCATAAAACAATAAAAGTCATGGAACAAACCTTTTCATGCAATGATCCCTATCTCAAGGTGGTGTTGCTTTTCAGATGAATGGTGCTGTGTCCAACAGTACACAATATGGCCACAAATGTTGATTTAAAACAAAATGTGGTCCTTAAATCCAAAACTGAAGTCAGTAGATAAAGTGTCAACGCAAAATACATTTTATTGTGGTGTACAGACCATTTGAGAGGTCCAAAATGTAAATGAATATGTTGAGAAATTAGCCTGATTTCTCCACAAATCTTCCTGATCAATGGAAGGTACCCTTTTTCCCAGCAATTGAAATCATACAAGTTCAAACTTTCATTTGACATCCTGCTTATCTTATTCCAGGCATGCACAGATCATGAGTTAGTATTCAGACACAATCCCTCACCTTGAGTTCCTCGGGCAGCATCTTGCGTAACTTCTTCTCCCCGAGGACGTGCAGACATTGCTGCAACATCTCCTTCTTGTCAGCGACGTAGGCGGTGATGGGCTGGAAGGCCAGGCTGAGGTCCAGCCCCCCCTCCTCGATGTCGCTGCCGATCCGGTCCAGCTCTGCGTCCGCCATATCATCCTTAGAGCCCTGCAGCAAGAAACCAACATGTTACTCTGGAGGTACTTAGACAATAACGATGTTAACACTGTTCCAAAATGATTAGTAGCTCAAACGGTACGTGGACCATTTAGACTTTTTGTTATATTTAGTTAAATTAAGTTATAATTTAAATTATATTGCAAGAGCTTTCCCATGTTATTTAAACAAACCTGGAATTAAATAACATGCCCGTAGGCTAACCTACAACCCAAGTAACTGAAAAACTCCGTTTTACTTAACCCAAAAAATCTAAATAAACGAGTACAAATATTTTTCGATTGTCATTTTTTTTTGTTGCAGAATTAGTGTAACTATTCAAATATTTTCTTATTCAAGCTTTAAAGTGAGGGGATTTATTTTCTGATTTCCTGTGTCATATATATCAATTTTGGATTATGAACTTTAAGACTAAGAATACTAGACATTTAAAGACTTTACGTGGGGTAAAAATCCCTAATTATAAATGTAATTTAAGGCTTTGTCATACAAATTATCAAAAACGTCAATTCACTGTTAGTTATATCTTGGTTGCCATTGATCAACACAGCTTAATACTATCGAAAATGAAAACAGCAAGCTTCATTAAAAAAAAAAAAACCTGTACCAAAGTCTGATAAATGTTTAATGTTCGCCATATCTAACATGACTCTGAAAACAGACCGCCAGGGATCTAACAATTTAATATATTTTATTTTATTTGATAAACTTTCAGAACCCTAGCTGAGAGTTCTGACAGTATCTGAACCAGGTAGTCTAAAGCGAATACACAAAACATACGTTCTTAATCACGGATTTAAATACATATACATCTCGCCTAAAGGTAACCATGAAAATAAATTAACCAAATATGTATTTTAGTGTCAGTTTACAGAATCGTGTATATTATAATATATTCCGATTGTTAAACACAGCATTACATTAGCATGACACTAGCTTAAGCTGTTACCTCGGAGTTAGCATCCGCACATCTGCGTTTGTTGTTGTCGGCTCGCTCTTCGGTCTGAGACTGTTTCCGCCTCTTCTCTGCGCTGCTGGCCTTCTTCTTCAGCATTGTCAGGGTAAACACACCTGGAGCACACCGAAAGAAAGCTGAAACACACCTGTGCTTCTACTGAGAGCTGAAAAAACACTGCCGCTGTTACAGAGAGCTGTTTTATATCCCGAGCTATACTTCCATTTTGAATGTCGCGGCAAAAGCTGTCATCAGAACGCGACCACTTCCTCTTTTGGCGGCGGCGATGCAACCGTTTGGTTTAGTCGACGCCACCTACCGGCAGGGCGGTGCTGGTACTGTCTGTATCTCTTAGTCCTCATTATTTTTTTACCAGAAAAGGGTGACTGACATCCTTACATTTATTCCGCAGAAACGTATGACAAACAGGTTTCCTAAGAGGTTTGTGTTGGTGGTCAGTTCACACCTAAGCATTGTTTATAACGGGATATGATGTAACTGCATTGAAAAAACACATCAAATTAGCTTTGCAGTGCTAGACTATACCCATATGTCCATAATTAGTGAGTATAGCTTGAAGTTCCCACATCATCTTGTGTCCACAACAACAGAGCTGCTCACTTCCTGTTCCTCCTTCATCTGCACAGTTGTCTGTATTATGAAGAATGCTGAAACAGATTCAAACTGTATCCCATCATCAACATTTCACACTTCAAAGCTCCCTCAGATGACTTCCTACAGTCAATCATAAATGCCCACCCTGTGTTTCACACGTCTCTCCATATCCCAAGTTCCATCTGCCTCATCAAATACTGTGCATCTAATTCATTACTGTGAATGAATGCCTTCAAACCCTCCGCCGAGGCTCATTTACATAATTCAGCCTCCACAGTTAAACCAGCAGCATCTTCCTTATGTTTGTTACAAAGGGTGTTACAAAGGAATGTGGGGTCACATGATAATGACACATGTTTGCAGGCAAAACTAATAATTAGGCAAAACAAAAAGACGTGAATATGTCTATCGCGGATAAAGTGACTTATGCATGACCTATGTGAACAATTATGTAAAACTGTGATACGGAACGTATGTGAAATTATCAGGTAAGATGTGATGTATGGATGTTATTCTGCGAAAGAAAAAGTAAGCATATCACATTTTCAAATGTTCTGACATGATCACAACACCCTGAGATCAAGGAAGATGCATATAGCATTAGGTAAACACACTATAAAGCTAATATTTATACAGTTTATTATGATGTTTGACAGCTTTTGGTGAAGGAAAGAACTCAGGATACACTAATAATTATGCAAGACAAACAGATTTCAATACTGTCTATCACATTTTCAGACATGATCACAAAACACTCTTTAGATGAATTCATCCTCAGGAAAATACACTTAATATAGTGTATTATAATGTTGCACAGCTTCTCATTGACGAAAGTGAAACATGTTTGCAGAACTTTGGCTAATAATTATGCAAAACAAAGAGACTTAAAGGTCACTTATTATCCACTATTTTATGTCTTTTATACATAAATAGTTGTTCCCTGTGTGTAAAAAGATTCTGAAAGTTTCAGGAAAAAAGATTCTCTTTCTTTTTGTCCCGATCCATCTATATAAAAACCTGTCTGAAAGTTAACTGATCAGATTTGGCCAAGCCAAAGGTAACACCCACCCACCTTATCACCTGAATCTCCTCCTAGAGCACTAGTGTGTACTTTTAAACCAATCACGTCACAGAGAGGCGTGCCATGCAGCAGCTTATTAGCATTTAAAGCTACAGACACAGAATCAGGGCTGAACATTATGGGTTTATGGGATGCTACAATTATGATCTGTTTGGTATTTCCAGCCAAACACTTCAGAGACATGTTTTGTATATATCTGAGACCTATAATATATTTTGGACAAATTGTATAATAGGGGAACTTTAAAAAATGTAAACTGTGACATGGAATATATGTGAAATTAGTTCATATATATATATATATATATAGTATATGTTATTCTGTTAAAGTATGCACATGTTCAAGATCATAGTCTCTGAAATGATCACAAAACACTCGTTAGGGTATATGCATATATGCTCGACGAATACTTCATATTTATATAGTATATTATATTTTTGAAGGATAAGCTAATAGCAGAAATACATTTGGGTAATGACGCTGTCTTCAGGGAGCCCTGGTGTTGCTTATCTGGACAGAGTTGCAGGTTTGGAGCCGGTGGTGACGACGCGCAGCAGGCAGTAAATCACTTTAATTGGCTTCCCCGCCTCGGCCTCCGTACGGCAGGAGCCAATGCAATGGCTGCCCAGGCGCCATGGCGACAGCTGTCTCCACATAATGCAGGTTGTTATCCTGATGCCATCCACCAAATTATGCAGTGGGTACGGTAGGAGGTGTGCATCGATCACAATCATGTCACAATGTGTTTTCTTTGCAACAGCTGCTCCCCGTGTCTGGGTTCATCTCATTAAAGGCTCTGCAGAGGGGACAGGGCTTTTTAGAAACAGCAGCTCATGTGGGTGTGAAGCCATGACAATTGTAAAAGTATGTTGCAGAGATTTGTGATTAGAAATGAGAAATATACGCAAGCAAGCCCTGTTGTCTAATTAGCAGACTTGGCTAATCGAGAGATGTACAGGCTTTTGTTCTCATTTAATTTAGTTTAGTTGCACTTTGAAAGTAAAATGATGAATCACAGAGAGGATTTAATAACTGAAAGTGAGATTAAAAAGCTACAGAAGCTCACTATAAAGAAAACAGAGAATAAACCATTATATTAAACACAAAACTCAAAAAGTCAAGAGCAATCTGACGCAAGAAGCACAAGTTGTGTGTTTTGTATATAGTTTTATTTCCATTGTTTTTAAGACATGGAATTCATTATTGTTCAGCTGAAAGAGAGCATGCACATCACATGCTTTGCCTACATTTGTCAGTAAAATGTGCACTTTACATCTAAATATATAGAATTGGTTGTGTGCATCATCATTACAGATTGTTTAAGCAACGAAAATCAGTGGTAATTAAAAGTGGAGCACACAAATAAACTTTATTTTAGTGCCAGTCTAAACTAGGTCATCCAAGCTGCACTGAAACTATATAATATGTTGTGTACATAAATAAATAACTCCCCGATCAACGCCTGCCCTCCTCAAATCAACACGTATAGACAGTAGGATTTTTTAGTGTGAATTAACATCTTCTCTGCCAGCTGAGATAAAGTATAGACACATTTTGTACCTTCATTAACTTCACAACTTGAAAAAACACACATTTATTGACTGTTATTTGCTTTGCACCAACAGCATGAAATAAGATCAAAATAACATGTATGCATAAAGTGCTTTACAATTAGGATAGATAAACATAGAATGAACCTTAAACAGGGAGACAATGTATATAAGATACGATATAATACATAGTGATGTCACTACGGGAAGTAAACAAAAGGAATCCAAAGGAGGCGTTTCAAGCAGGAGTGTGGGAGAGAAACTCCCACAGGGATTTTAGCCTTTGAAGACCACTTGTAGCCTACATGTACATTCAACAGTGTTCAGTCTCCCCTACACCAACAGCAGCAGTGAATAATAACACTAAAGCAGTAATCAGAGTCTCTGTGGCTCAGGATCGCAGCAACACCCCCGTTCAGCATGTTGTTAACTTAAATATCAATTGTTCTCTCTTCAGCAGCCTCTTTTCCCCAAGGTGCTTTGAGAGGACTGCCAAGCAGTAGTGTGTGTGTGTGTACACAGTATGTGTTGGCTGCAGTAAAGAAAGCCAAAGATATCTATTAACAATCTATTCCTTACCTCGCTCAGAGAGCAGCGGCCGACGTCTTCTGAATCAGGTGGGATTCAACAGAGAAACTCTCTGTATATATATCATAAGCACATTGATGTGTGTAGCCATGTTTCAGTGAAGGGGATTCTTAATGCTTCATCTTACTAAGTCATTTTGGACAATTCTATGCTTCCAACTTTGTGGAAACAGTTAGGGGAAGGCCCTTTTCTGTTCCATCATGACTGTGCCCCAGTGACCAAAGCAAGGTCCATAAAGGCATGGTTGGGTGAGTTTGGTGTGGAAGAACTTGACTGTCCCGCACAGCCTTGACCTCCACCCCATTGAACACCTTTGGGATGAATTAGAACGGAGATTTCGAGTCAGGCCCTCTCGTCCAACATCAGTGTCTGACCTCACAAATGCTCTTCTGGATGAATGGGCAAAAATGCCCACAGACGCACTCCAAAATCTTGTAGAAAGCCTTCCCAACTAACTTCATGTTAATGCCTAAGAATTTTGAATGGAATGTCATAAAAGCTCCAGTAGGTGTACACTCCTCTTAATCATGACCCAATACTTTTGTCTGTATAGTGTATAATAAGACAAAGTATTGGGACACTGCTCCTAGCCATGCAGTTTGCCTTTACAAACATGTGTGAAAGAATGGGTCGTTCTAAAGAGCAGAGATGCAACAAGTCAGATCGTGAAATACCACTGTAAGGTATTATTGTAAAGTGGAAACATTTAGGAACCACAGCAACTCGGCCACGTAAAGTTAAAGGGCGGGACAACAAAGCATACTTTAGTTCTGTGAAGGGATATAATCTGCCTTGCATGGCACTAATATGTTGAGGATGTGGTTTTGTTTCATGGACTACATTTACTGAAAATATATGCACTGTACTTCACTTTACTTCAAAGTGTATGCTGAGAAGCATATAGTACTGCACTATGGTCTGTGAAATACATTTGAGTGGTCGCGATTTATTGACAAAGGAAAAAAGTGGGTCCTGAGGCTTGACCTGTTGAGAACCACTGGTGTAGAGGATGACTCTTTGGGAGCAACATGTGAAGTGTGTGAAAAAAGCTGAGCAGATATCTGGAACTAACTGTCGAAGAAGAGCGATGGAGTTTGAATCTTCTCTGGAGCTGGTGCAGCAGCTCCTCCCAGGAGAAGTGCTCCGTGTGCAGCTGGGTTATAGAGCCTGTCCTCTCCTCTTTCATGCAGTAATTGAGGGCTACGATTGGGAGGGAAACTGACAGACTCTTGGCCCTCAGGACCAACGCCGAGCCTCCCTTAATCCTCAGGCTCTGCTTCTTTTCTAGCCAAGGCTGGACCGAACATTTCTCATTTAATAGAGAGCAGACACAGAGAGATGTAGTTATCTAAGGCTGGAGCACCACCTGCTGCACACTGAACACTGAAACTCAGCAGGACCAAAGCAAGGTCACCTGAAGA